TGTTAGTTCCTTTCTTAAAATAATTTTTTTTTTTTACCTTAACCTGGGTTTATCTACAGTGACATTGCCATTTTCGGCTAGCTAATTCTCTATTGCAAGCTCTGCAGTGTGCATTCTAGGACGTTTAGCAACATCTCTATCCTCTACCTGCTAGCTGCCTGTAGCATCTCCCCATTAAGACTATCTCCAGACATACTAAACTTACTGTGAAGGGAAGGGTCATCACCTATTAAGAACCACTAGTTGAAAGAAGTACAAATATGTCATTCCAATGTGAAGTGTTTTTGCAGGGATTTTAAAAAGCTTGTGTCTATATCAGCAGATATACTTAGCAGACACAGATAAAATGCTATATTTAGCCATGTGCTGTACACACATCAGCAGGAATACCCATGTCAATCCCTCTCACTATAGTGTTCTCATTCTGACCTCAGGATATGGGTGATGTTGATGTGGCTATCAGAGAGAGCACATATAAGGATAGAGGGAGGGAAGTTCTTATATGTCGTCTCCTTAGATAGTATTTAAAGGCTACTTCCACTTTGGATATGCCCCACAAAGCAAAAATAAAAAATTAAATTATATTGAACTAGAAAGTTTCTGCATAGCAAAGAAAACAACAGTGAAGAGGCAACAGGTGCATTGGAGAATATATTTACAAACCATACATTTGATAAGGAGTTAATATCCAAGATATTTTTTACAAAAACCCTTTCCAATAATGAACTCAATAGCAAGAAAACAACCATATTAAAATATAGGCAATAGACTTCAATGGGCATTCCTCAGAACAAAACAAAACAACATAATAACCCCCCAAAATATGACACCCAAGTGTTCAACAAGTACATGAAAAAAATATTCAATATTAGTCATCAAGGAAATTCAAATTAAAACTATAATGAAATATCACCTCTCTATTGTTAGAGTGGCTATTATCAAAAGGACAAAAGATAACAAGTGTTGGTAAAGATTTGGATAAAAGTAAATTTTATATTGTTGATGGAAATGTAAATTAGTACAGTCATTATAGAAAATAAAACCAAATATCTCTCTAAGAGTTCTACTTCAAATAAAGTAGAACCTCCATGGTTGATCACTTCCCTACATGAACTGTCTCCTTATGGTGACTTAATTTTCATGTAGCACACCTCCTAGGTGAAGGTCTCAACTACAACTAGGACTTTACCCTACAAATGCAAACAATGTAACCTAATCGTTTATACCCACATATTAATCTGAAATTTAAAAAGAGAAAAAAAACCAATAAAAATTAAAAAATAACAATAAAGCAAATAAAGATAATACAGTATTATAGTAATTTGTGTAACATTTACAATGTATTAGGTATTATAAGTAATCTACAGATGCAAATACCATACTATTTTATATAAGGGGCTTAGACAACCACAGGTTTTGGTATCTGCAGGAGTCCTAGAACCAATTCTACACACACACCAGGAAACAACTGTATCATGTCCTTGAAAATTGTTAATGGAGTAGATTTTAAGTCTACTTTAAAAAATGTCTGAAAAAGCAAAGATAAAAATGTGGGATAATGCATACTTTGGTTAGCTTCATTTAGCCGTCCTAAAATGCATACATATTTTGAAACACCAAGTCATGTGCCATAAATTAAATTCAAAGCCATAGCTTTGAATTATCAATTAAGTATAAATAAAATAAAGGCTGCTTCTGGATCAAAGGTGTTAATTCTTCAACACCCTGGCTTGTTATGCTGCGTGTGGAAGAGGGGATGGATGTACTGGCCAATAAACACTCCACGTAGTTGGATTTCCAGCCATCTTGTACCAACATGGTAACGATGGGGGGAATATGGGTGGGGTGACAGCAGTCTGTGCTGCAGCTTTACTAACAAACTAAAGGAATTGGATAATAGAGAGATTTAAGATGTATGGGACCTACAAGGCAAGGCCAATAAAATAAATGGTGGAAGACTAAAAAGCATCAATGAGAGAATTTATGAGATGAAATGACACCTTATATTCTGAGTCTGGAAGGAAGGTGAAAAGATGGCTGCCAGTGTAAGTACATTTGTGAGTTTGATGACAGGGAAGTGTGAGATTGACTTTTGCTATCTTTGTTTTCTTGGTAACCTCTTAGAGAAGGTTATTTCTAGAAAGTGATGGAGTAAATTGTAAAATAAAGGAGATTTATGTATAATAGTCACTAAGGGAAAGGAAAGACAAATTAAAGAAATATGAGAACATTTAAGAGATCAACTAAGACCAAAACAATCCAAAATTCTATGGTAGCACCAATCATATGGTGTAGTAAATCATCTCCAGTATGACTCAGTGAAAAGGTATAGGGACTAAATGAAAATTGCAGGATTGACTCATTTATTGACTAAGTATGTACTGAATGCCTACTATGTTTTATCTCTAGGTCATGGACTTTTCTAGAAGCTGGAGATAAAACAATGAAAAGAAGAGAAAAAATTCCCTGATCTTGTAGGGCTTATATTCTAGAAGGGAAATGCAGAGAACACATCAGGCCAATGAATACAATTATAGTATGTTAGTCAGAAGTACAGAGAATGAAAATGAGGAGTGCTGGGGCAGAAGAAAAAATTTTACTTTAGATAGGGAGTGTGGGAAAGATCTCTCTGAGGTGTCATTAAAAAAGAAGACTAGAAAGAGATGAAGTCGTGTGAATATCTGGGAAAGGATGTTTCAGGCAGATGGGACAGCAAGTGGGAAGGTGCTAAGACAGGAGTGTTCCCGGTGCGTCTGAGCAATGGCAAGAAATTTTCTCAGATGACTGTACCAATATACTCTGGGAGTAAAATGATATAAATTAAGGTCAACGAGATAGCAAGGTTGGGGGTCCTGGGATAGGGTCTTGTAGCCCATGGCTTTTAAGTTGATTGAGGTTTGGAAGTTTGAGGTAAGATGAGGTTTGAGGACTGGGCAGAGAGAAGAGTTGAAAAGGTTAGTGAAAGCATATTTCAAATAATCACTGACTGGGAAAGGAAGAAAGGGAGTCCAGGAGTAAGCAGGTAAATGAGGGACATTATTCAGACAGGAATAATGAGGAGAGAATAAAAGCATAGCAGACAGAGGAGGAAGTTTTTAGGTTGGGGTATATTTATTAATGATAATTAGTACATGAGATATGGTAAATTCTTTGTGTCGTTATGTCATTTAAATTTCCACTCATCTAATAAATATTAGATAAATATTTAGGCAATAAATATTATTATCCAAATTTTACAGATAAGAAAACTAAAGTGCAGAGAGAGTAAATCACTGTCTCAAAGACAAACCGCTAGCCAGAGATAGAACTAGGATTTGAATTCCATTAATCTAACTCATACTTCTGTTCTCTTTCTTAGCCCCTGAATTTATTGAAGTGTTTTCGACAAATAATAATTTGTGTGTGTTTAAGGCATACAACTTGGTGTTTTGACGTTCATATACACAGTACAATAATCACCAGAATCAAGCTCATGAACCTACCCACCACCTCACATAGTTTCCATTTTCTCTTTCTTCTCTGTCTGTTACTCTTTCTCTTTATGTCTTCCTTCCCTCTCTTTACTTTTTTGGTGCCACTCACTTAAGATCTACCCTCTTTGAATGCTGCAGAAGATGCATGTATGATAAGGCTGGACACAGTCCATGGCAGTTGGATGTTAGGAGGCCATTGGCATAAGTAGGCGTTAATGTAGACAGTAGTTTAGTGACTCCAGATAGCAAAGAAGTGAAGTCAGCAGGTGTGGGATTGAAGAGACAAGTGGATTATGAGTAGTGAAACTAAGGATGTAGAATTTAAAAAGGAGAAAGACTAAGGTGGTTTATAGCCTGAGGGGAAGATGCTGTAAGAATGTGACACAATGGAGATGAAGGTGTGAGTTGAACAGAATATGGAGCAAGGTCAGGGAACAAGTTGAAGGGTTGGAATGATGAGATAGCCTTGGAGAGGAAGACCCTCATTTGTATAGAAAAGTAACTGAGGACCAGAGAAGTAAATGGTGAACTCAAAGTCATGGAGCCAATTAAACAGTGGCTTGGGACAAAAGTCCAGGTTTCTGATTGCAAAGACAGGGCTTTTCCACTAGTCTTCCAAACCTCTCTTGCTGACTCATCGTCTGCTGCTTACTTACCCTTAATCCACAGGGAGTTATTGCAGTTAATGAATAAATCCAGTATGGCAAACCTGCTGTAAATGCACAGCTCTGCAGAAACTCTAAGACATCTTGACCTTTGAGTTTCCTTTACAACTCCCTCCCCACACTGCTCATTAGCACCCTGTGTTGACTTTTCTTGACTATAAACTGCTGTCCCATTGAAGGTTTCCACATTGATGCTAACTAGGGACTCAGGGGGAGAGAACTAAGGTCACCCTTAGGGAATTTCTAGCTGAATGAGGCTCCACTAAGCTTTGAAATCAAAAAGCTTCTGGTAGGTAAATGGAGTACAGATGGGAAATCAAGCCAGTCTGTGACCGGGCATGATTTAGAGCAACTGTTATTGATATGACAGATCCTAGGAGGCAGCCTCATGAGAGCGTGGATTTTAGCTGCAGTGCAAGTAGGTGAAATGAATCATTATGTTTTTGACTTTCGAATTTCCTGCACCTTGCCAGTGGTTATTACAACAGTAATTTGGGCCATGTATATTCCAGGGAGGCTTTTGGTTTAAGAATCTAAACTTTCTTAAGGGAGAAGGAATATTCAATGTATCTTTATGTATTATTTTGAGGATGATGCAGGACTTTTATATTATATGAAATATTTTAGATTTTTAACTGTGAAGGAACAATAGTAGTCTATTTCTAATATTTGTCTTGAGCAAACTTTGAAATTCTTGATTAATGTTTAACCACAAGAAATATGCTCAGTTCAAGTAAAGAATCAGTTTCAGGGTTCAGACTGAGGTGTCTTGATGATTAGAATTCCAGCTCCCAGGAGGAGCCTCCAAGGCTAAGGGTATTAGATATAGCAGATAGTAGAAACTGTACCCTACATACAGAGAATGTGGACCGGATATAAGATCTTGATCTTCTCTTATTTAACTACAGAAATTTGGATGGAGGAGCAGTATTTATCTCAAAGAAAAGTTGACTTAGAAGCTTATTTTGCTAGAAACCACACCATGTTAGAAGGTAGTCGACTCAAAAGAGCCATTTTCCAAGGGCAATACTGTAGAAATTTTGGCTGTTGTGAAGACAGAGATGATGGCTGTGTCACTCAGTTCTATGAGGTGAATGCATTGTGTTACTGTGATAAATTCTGTGAAAGGGAAAATTCTGATTGCTGTCCTGATTACAAATCCTTTTGCCGTGAAGAGAAAGAATGGCCTCCTCACACACTGTCGTGGTACCCAGAAGGTAGGCTTGGGGAAAATGGTTATGTGTTACCTTGTTGCATAATAACAAAATCTGACAAACTTTCTATTTTTCTTCTTTCTTTTTTTCCTTCTTTCCATGAAATGAAAATGAGTATTATTATTGCTAAGATACAGTTTTGGACTGCCTAAGTGCTTTGGTTTGGATGCAAGGTGTCAGTACCTTCAGGAAAGTTCTGATCTGATAGCTCTGATTACTGGTCTGGATTTTGCTTTGAACACTCCATTCAGCTTATACAAGAATGATTTAACTCTTGTCTTCCTTTTCTTTCCATCCCTCCCTCCTTCTCTTCTTTCCTCCCTCTCTCACTTATTTTCTTCCTTTCTCCTTTCCTCCATCCATTTCCTTCCTTCCTTCCTTCCAAATGTATTCGCATCATAACTCTTAAGCCTTTTTTGAGTGTAATCTCTTAAGAGAATGTCATGAAAATTACAAGCCTGCTCATCTGAAGATTTATTTACTATTTTGTGGGGCTAAAGGAATCCTTAGCATTAGACTCATTGGTATAGCAATGTCATTAAAACTAAGACAGAAGCAAAATAAAGTCCATTACCCTTCCTGCCTAAGCAATACCAAATAGATGCTTCATGTCTATTTTTGGTTTGTTTTGACAGTCTGAGGATGTTAAAATAATCAAGAGGAAAGGAGAGTTTCATATAGAATAGTTGAAAACTCTAAGGTTGAGTGTTTAAATATGACATAAGGAGAGTGGTGTATTTACTATATTGGTCTAATTATAGGAGGATGGCTACTGATTTTGAGCAATTAATATAACCAAGCTCTAGAATAAAAACAACAAAACAAAACCCTGCAAATAAACTTAGATGAGACTTTTATTTTTCTGTCTCTCATTTTATCGAATCTCCTCAGCAGAAATTGAGGGTTAATCAATGCCCTGTCACACTACTAGAAATGGGTGATGATGACCAGAAAGTACAGTTAGAGGGAAATTTAAGATAAACTAGGGACTGAGAATCTTTATTTCAAAATCTGCATTTCATTCAAAATTAGGATGCCATTGCTTTAATTTTTAATAATACCATCTTCTTTGTAAAATCAAGAATGTGTTTCTTTCAAACACATATGTATTATTTTAAAATTTTCCACAAAATTGCTATTTATCCAAGGCCTTTCCTTTTTAACAATAAATAGCTCAGCAAATGTTTATTTAATCCTACAAAGTGGCAGATGCTATTATAGAAATGAGAGATCTAGTCATTCATCAAAAATTATTCCTTGAGTATCTCTGCTGTGCCAGGCATTGTACTTAGGGCTGGGGACACCGTGGAGAAAAAAAAAAGACAAGCTCTTGATTCCATGAAAATCACAGTCAAGTTTGTGGGAGAAGGGTGGAATATATTTAACAAATTTGCTGTACAATTGCAAATTATGCAAAACATGGATGTCTATTAGATTTCCTACTATTTAACAAAGAGATCCTTGTTAAGGCTTTAAAAGAAAAAAAAAATCTAAATGAAGCATTCGGAAGAAAAGAAATAAAATCTTTATTTGTAGACAACATGATGATCCACATAGAAAACAAAAAATGAAACCAGAAGGAAATAGCATTAGTAAGAATTAGAAACATCTAAACCTGAGACATTTTCATTTAAAAGTTCAGATTTTTAGGTACTTGTGAAAGCTCTGGCAATCCTGAGCTCATGGGTCTTACATGACAACCATCAGTTGGAAGTAAATTTTGGATATCCCCTTTTGGTACCACTTGTATTTTCCATTTTGTCCTATGCTCCATCTCTTGCTATTTTCTCCCTGAGATAGTTCTCACATTTATTGATGGAGGTCAGTCTGTCTGTAGGTTCGGTCAGCAGAGCTCCTTCTTGTTGTACAAAATAGACACAACTGTGCCTGGAAACCCTAAGTCACTCAGTGTTGTATTTACTTTGGCTTTGAAAGAAGATGATTTCTATTAAAATGGAAGCATTTCCATTTTTGGTTGAACTGCCCTGTTTTGTCCTGTTGGTATGATCATTAAAGAACTGGTGAAGTTAAAGAACATGCTGATAACATACTGACAACAGGATGATGACACATAGGGCATCACAAAGAGCCCCAGGCCCAGGATCAGTTAGAGATCATGTCCCTGATGGGCACATAGTTTCTCACAGGATTGGGCCCTGCAGTCAGGGGAAATTCACCTTTTAGGGAACCTTGCACAACAGATACTTAACAGGTAGACTTCTCTATAGCATACCCTATGTAGCATGCTTTTCTTTCTTTCCTTCTTTCTTTCTTTCTTTTTTTTTTTTTGTTAAATCATAGTTATGTACATTAATGAAATTATGGGGTACAATGTGCTGGTTTTATATACAATTTGAAATACTTGCATCAAACTGGTTAACTGTGTACACCATGGAATATTAACCAGCCTTAAAAAAAGATGGAGACATTACATCTTTCATGTTTACATGAACAGAGCTGGAACACATTCTTCTTAGCAAAGTATCTCAAGAATGGAAGAAAAAGTATCCAATGTACTCAGCCCTGCTATGAAGACAATTTATAAAACCCATACTTTCAAATGAAAGCTATAACCCAACTATAGTGCAAGTTAAATCTACTAAGAGTAGCATGCTGTTCATTGGCTTACTTAACCTACGGTGTCTTCTCCTACTAGGAGAATAGGCTCGGCACCTGTAGTACAGTGGTTATGGCACAGGTTCAAACCCGGCACAAGCCTGCTGATCAACAATGACAACAGCAGCATCATCAACAACAAAAAATAGCTGGGCGTTGTGACAGATGCCTGTAATCCCAGCTTCTTGGGAGGCTGAGGCAAGAGAATTTCTTGAGCCCAAGAGTTTGAGGTTGCTGTGAGCTGTGATGCCATGCCATTTTACCGAGGGTAACATAGTGAGACTGTGTCTCAAAAGAAAAAAAAAAAACAGGAGAATCACTTTATGTCAATTATATAGAAAGCTTCTTGGATTAAGTGTGGTAGTTTATTTATTGGATAAAAAAATTACTATGCCATGAAGAATAAGTTGCTTAGTATAAATAAACACTGGTTGAATTTAGATTGAATTGCCTAGCTATGTTTTGTTAAATTAATATTAACAAATATTAATTTGTTATATAATATTAACATATTATTTGTTAAATTAAATATTAATTTTATTCCCATACCATTTGAAAGAATAAAAATATTTTCAAAACCATGATTTTTTTCCTATATCAAGTAGTTTTAAAAGATATTTATAAAGTACTATTATTTATCCATATTTTCAATAAGCAGTTCATACCTTCTTTCAGAAGTTGGCAGCTTAACAAAAGTAATTGATAGTATTTAAAGCTTATTATGTATCCATCACATGGTAAGCATTGAGAGTGATATGAAAAAAGTATTTCTAGGACTCTAGAAACTTATGATCTATATGAGTAAGAAGATTATTGCACGTGAGCAATATGCCACCTGTGGAGTCAATGTGGCCAGTACCATAATCCCACATTCTCAACTGGAAAGTTGGGTACATTAAAATAGTTAATACCTGTTTAATAAATGCGAATACTCTGTACCAGAGAAGACTGCATAAGATTGGAGACAGCCCTAGTTAACGTACACATTTTTAACATAAACAATATTTTGCCTGGATTTGCTGGGTCATTAGAGACCAGGTTCCTTCTAGCTTTGTGCTCCACCATTGCTAGCACACGACCTTTTATTCAGGATTCAATTTGGCTTCTCATGCCCTCAAAATCATATTGAAGACCCACTCAAAGAAATGACAAAGGGAAGATATGGTCCCTGTATAGTAAGGAGACATCCTAGAGTACAGAAGTGGACATCTCTGGCCAGAACAGTAACACGGCCATGCCAATGGTCAAGAGAGGTTGAGCACCAAAATTTGATTTGCTTTGTTTTGCTTAGCTATGTGGTGATGTGCTAGCTATAAATTGGGTTCTACTGTACACAAAAAGTAGGAAATGATACTGGTAACAATCAACATCCTCTGACACAAATGAAGAATGCAGAATAATCTAAAAACACAGGGACTCTCTACATGTCTGCCTTTTGATGAATGTTATTATTGTTATCAGTTTAATATTAGCATGAGTCTTAATATCATAGTATTAAACTATCATATTTTTAATGTGCTAAAATGCATCTGAGCTTTCCTTATTAAGAAATAGAGCCTCTTCACAAAAGGAGTTGGCTGCTACTTCTTCAATATTCAGTTTTGCCTGAGAACTAGAATGTTGTTAAGACTGTAATTTAAGGTCACATTTTAGGTAGAACTTAGGTTCCAGATATATTTTTTACCCAATTCATTATAGAGAGAAGCAATTAATCATTTTATTTAGTAGGGAAAAGTTCACATTAGACTGTAACTATTTTCACAAAGATCATTTTTTTTTTGTTTTTATATTGCTTTGGAAAGTAACTGCTTAAAAAGAAGAATGCTATGCAGTATTAAAATTGTGGACAATTAATGACAATAAAAAGTCATTGGCATTTATTTGTACTATTTTTGCCTGTATAAAGCAACTTGGAGATGCTGTATTTTTTATTCACTGATCAATTAGGTATTATTTTTCAATGATCTAAGTACATGGAGTTATCTAGTCCTTTTGACTGTGTCTTTAAATCAATGACTTAAAACTACGTACTTTATCCTAAGGATTAAAAAATATGTCCCTTTACGATAAATTAAGAAGAGGATATATTGGTAAATCTCTTCCTTTGTTTTTTTTTTTTTTCAACCCATATCTGGGTAATATCCAGGAATTGGAGGATTTCAAACGTCAGCTACCGAAAATCTAAAATAGAATTTGAAACAGAGCCAGGGTGGATTCTCTAGACATACTCTTTTGGTGTAGCAGATATTAAGGAAACAGTCTAGTATGCCATCTGTTGTGAGCAGACTTGGGCTAATTTGATTATGCACAGTATGTTTGCATTCGTAAAAAATGTATGCAAACCACTGACACATCTGATTTGGATAAGGGTTATTTACTCTTTCACAACCTCCTTAACCATATAATAATGAAATTAAGTCGGAGTCTAAACTCTGCCACACATACTGACTATTATAAAAATCTGACACAAACTAATTCATTCAACCTCTGTAAGCTTTAGGAAGTCTCGGCTTCCTGGCCTTTGAGGTGTTGCCACATCTACATGTGTGAAAAATTCACTGGCGGCACATATGAAAATATTACAGAGGTAGGATTCTGCTACCCTTACAGTGGGCATCAGGCAATGATAAATGTTCCTACCCAGTTGGCTGGAGGACAAAGATCAATCCTAGGACAGGAGGCCTATGAGCACAGGCTTCTGAACTTAAGAGATACATCTAAACTGTACAAGAGTGACGTGTGACTTTGAAATATTTTAGCTAAACACAAATTAAATGCTATTAATTTAACCAAAGACAGCTGATAACTTATCTCCATTATGCTGATTAATAAGCCACTGATTTAACGAATGAAAGCCCAATTCTGACATTTATTATACTAATACTCTAGTGTTGATCAAAATACGGATAAAGGAAGCACTGGGAGCAGCTCAGAATGAATGCTACTGACCACCCCTGGGGCACGATTCCTGATTAGAGCAAGTAACTGCCTTTACTACAGCACAGTTCAGACTAGCACAGACATTTATAACACACCTTGGTGAAGTATTTAAAAATAAATTACAGATATTATGTCACATATTGTTCTCAATCGATGAGACCAACTATTTCACTCTCTAAATATATGATTTGGTTAATTCTGCATTAAAGGTTGTTAAAGTTGCAAAACTCCCTTAATTTTGGTAGCAATTAATTTTTGTTTTATTATATATTTTTATTTATTTTATTTTGGTCAAGATGCTACCAAGTGTAACCAATAGTAATATTAATAGTAATTGCGTAACCAATTTACTAACTTACTCTGAAGTGCTTCAGATATATTTTACTGGGAAAATAAGCTACCAGGCAAGAATCCTCCCATATCTCTCCCAGCAGTTTTTGGATTACCTCTATAAGGGTTATGCTAACATTGAATAGACTCCCCCTCTTGAGCTCTGAGTCCCATCTTCTATAGTCTCAAGATCTTTACCCTTAAAATTCTCTCTCTCGGCATCACTTTTTTTCTTCTCTCCTGACTTAACTTTGCAAAATGCATTTTTGTCTCTCAACTTTAAAAAGGGCCTCCTTTAACTTCATGTCCAGTAAACATCCCATGTCCTTCTTCCTTCTAATGGTGAAATATCTGAAAGAAAAAATTTGCTTTCTTATTTCCATATCTCCCATCAACCCATTCCTACAGGATGTCACTCTCTGCTACTTCAAGGAGATCTCTGGGCAGCGTCACTGGCCACGCCCACATTACTAAATGCAGTATTCAGATATCTGCTTTCTTATCCTTGGCCTCTCACCAATACTGTCCACAGCTGATCGTCTTGTGTGTATGAAATACCTTTCTACCCTGCTTTTCTTGACAGCATCCACTCCTGAATTCCCTGCTTCTTTTATTATTATTATTTCTTAT